GCCAGCATGGCTGGCTGGGGAATTCTGGGAGTTGAAGTCCACTCATCTTAAAGTGGCCAAGTTTGGGCAACACTGGATTAAAAACTTCACCCTGTGTCACTAAGAAGCTGAGGCCGTTGCCTCCCACCCCAGACAAATCACATGCCCCTGGCAGTAGATTGTGTGCCTTGCAAAAGTGGCAAGGTTTTTTTTTCCAGAATAGACTCAGTTTGAACTATAGCTGCAAGTGTGATGAGAGAAACAAACTCTTCCGTGTAAACTTCAAATGAAGTTTTATTTATGTGAAGGAATACGCTTTAGAGCAATGTATTATACCTGGAATGCAATGGTTCTGAATTAAGCAGTGCCTTCTTGTTTCATAAAGCTTTGAAGAGAGTTGTGGCATTCAGCAAAATTGATAATATAGCAGTTGCATACCAGATTTAATGATGCCAGTAGTTTGAATTGTTCTGACCCTGTGTTTTAGGACTTTTGCTTAACATCATGATCAATATGGCAGGATTGAAAAATCCACATGTCTATTTTCTTCCAGGCTATTTAGGCAGTTCAAAAACGCTCTTTCAGAATATATTAATTGAAGTGAAATTAAGATATCTGATAATACATTAGCAGAATACTGCAGGTAGAATTAAAGGCAAACTTTGCCAGAATAACATGTGTATATATCTTTCCTGTGCCAGGTAGCATGCCATTACATGGTAAATTCTGAACATACTGTGAATTTACTTGGAAAAATCCCACTGAACTCAGTTCAGTGAGAATTGAGCACAGACTTTAGCTGCGGTGCTAACCTGGGCAACATTTATTTCACAGAAATCTGGTATATGATGAAGGAAGGTTCTGCTACCATGAGTTCTTCAGCTGCAAATCCCAAGATTCTGTACAGGAATTCTCGCCTACTCCGTATGGTGTTCCTACAACTCCATCGCCAACAAAGGGCTGACTTATTTTGTGATGTTGTCCTACAAGCAGAAGGTACTCATTCTTCTAAAATATGAGAGATGGATACGTAAAATAAATAGAATGGCTCGAGTTGTATTTTGGCTGAATAATCTTTAGGGCTGTGCAAGTTCTCTCAAAGAGGTGTTTTTCAAGTTGTAGAAGCCTATATGCAACAGGTCTTTTTGAGCAGAGCCCCCTTTTTTTTTTTTTCAGGCGCACACAACTGCTTTTATAAGTTGCCTTACGTCTTTTCATGTATTTATATAAGCACAGCTGCTTTGCTGGATGAAAAAGAACAATAGCTTTGGCTCTTTGCAGTGTACCCCTTTTATAGGATTTGCATAGCTCTAATAATTATCCCAAAGATCTATTATTCATTTTGTTAGTGTAGTGGTTTAATGTAGAAGATGGAGGAAACTTGTTTCTATTGCCCTGTTCTCAGTGCCATGACTTGCCTTGAAATTTGAAATAATACAAAGTGCCTGTGAATACATTCTGCTGTCTCCCCCAGTCAGGTACACCCCTGGACAGTGACTTCTAGAATTCCTCAACCATTCAGAGGCTATCAGGTTGAGGAAAAACAGTATTTAGAATACTTTGTCCTTCCATCAAATTGCCAGTAGAGGTGGAAAGTCCTCTCGTCCCACCCATTTTAAGGAAAGTGGCTTGCAATGTGGAAGTTGGGTTCTGAGTAAGAATGGAGCATTAAGCCCTTGTACTTGAAACATTTAGCCATAGTGAAATTTTGCAAAGAAATATGTGCTAGATCCAGGAAAGTTAAGCCAGCAAGTTTGGAGTGCTGTTATTTGTACTTGTTATTTTTATTTGTGCTTAATTCTTCCATTGAAATCTATGGGGCCATTTGAGGTGCTTAATTTTAGCTGGAGCATGCCTATGAATTTGTTTAATATATCTTATTTGTTGTGAATAAAATGCATAATGGTAGTTTGTACAATCTGCAGTTGTTTTTTTTGTTACTCAGTTGTCCCCAAATAACTAGAACAAATTGCTAAGCATTTAACTTGAAGAAGCACCACTAACCCAAAAAATCTAAGCAGATTTACATTGGTGCACGTATGCTTTTGTTTATTAAAATGTATATTCTAACACTATCCAGTAAGTTGATGTAAACAGGAAGGATAGAGCAAGCTAAAATATCCCTTTTTATACAGGAACCCTGTTCTTGCAACTTTATTTTAGAAGTATAACTATTTTAAATTAACAGCTGAAAGATGTAGTTTAGAATACCTAAACATACTTAAATACATTATTTAAGTTAGTATGCTTAAAATATAAACCAGCTCAGGTGATCTCTTTATTGGGAATGGCAGTATCTGGCTAATGGACCAGGCCTTTTCATCCAGCCTGCCATCTTCCAGTGAAGTCCAGAGTCTTCTCTGATACTCTGCCCCTTTCACTCCTTTGCATTTCTGTTCTGTTAGAAAAAGGAAACAAAGGATGTTGCTTGGGAAGATGTTGCTTCAAGGCACATGTAGGTGTTCGATTTAGCATCTCCCTTCCATTTCTTGTCAGGACAAGTGAAATAGCTTTCCCAGAGAGCTGGCACTTGATTCTAGTTGGCTTCTGGCTAGCCACTCTGGGAACAGAATTTAGGACGAGGTATGTCTTTGCCCTGACCCAGTACAATTCTTATTTTCCTGAGATTATTGACTGTAAAAGAATTTCAAGGCTACCCCACGAGGAACATCCTCAGTCACAATTGATGGTCCGTTGGTAAAGTACCTGCTAATAATGGTGTTCTTTGTAGGCGAAGCTGTTCCAGCTCATTGTTGCATCCTGTCGGCCTGCAGCCCCTTCTTCACAGAGCAGTTGGAGCGAGAAATGCCCCCCAAGGGACACAAGGTGGTGCTGGAAATTCGGGGGCTGAAAATTGGGACGTTGCGTAAATTGATAGATTTCCTCTACACATCTGAAATGGAGGTGTCCCGGGAAGAAGCCCAGGATATTCTTGCAGCTGCACGACAGCTTCAGGTGTCAGAGCTAGATTCCTTACAGTTAGAGGGAGGAAAGTTAGTAAAAAAAACATTGGGCCGGCGATTAAACAGGAACTGTTTGCAGCTAGCCAGTCCAGTGTCCATGTCAGAGGCAAGTTTAATTCATTCTCCCTCTGGAGGTAGCTTGACATCCTGGGTAGCCGCAGGCAAGCAAGCAATATCCAGCAGTGATTTTATACCATGCTCCAAAGAAATAAGTAGCCACAACAGTACTGATCAAAAGGATGTAAAGAAGCAAAAGCTTACTGCAGCATTGCTGGGTAGGGACAAGCAGGTTCCAAAAGGCCAAACAATTACTGCTGATCCCCTGAAAATGAAAGTTAAAAAACGCCCTTCAGGCACAGTAAGGACTATAGTGGGCAGTAATGAGAATGGTGGTCTGCACAGAAAGGAGACTGAGGCTGGAGAGACGCACGCTAGAGCCAGTTTGCAGGATTCAAAAAAGATAAAGCTCAGCCGTCCAAAGCTTTCTGCACCACCTTTGTCTGTGCCTTGTGCCACCAAAGACCACTGCACTGTGACATCCAGCAAATCCTCAAGGTCTGTTAGACGTCTCTGGAGACAAAAATGTCCTGGCAAGGATGAGGCAAGAAGAGAAGATAGTAACCATTTTTGTGGCTTCTGGAGCCCCCCTCTCCTTCCAAAATCTACTAAAGGCAGAAAGCGCAGCTCCAGCGAGCCGGTGTCCAGCTCAAACCGTCCCCAAGAAGTAGGTCAGATTGGCCGGGTAAAGCTCAGGAAAATTATCAATGGCAGCTGCTGGGAAGTGGTGCAAGAATCACCTGCTGTGCAGCCCACCATGGTGGCAAATGCTGTGTGCACTTTGAAAGACGAGGGCTCCCAGTCTCAGCCCAAACATCCTAAACCAGAAATGGCAGATGTGCAGCAGTTGGCCTGGTCTGCTAAACTGCTCCCTACAACTTTTGAGGCTGCACCAGCTCCTGAAAGGAGTGTGGTAGAACTACATGAGACCAAGGTGGCCTTAGATGAAGGAGATGGTGCTGCTGGGAATCATTATGACATGAATGTATTTATGCTGGACCATCTGGCCAAGGGAGAGCAGTATGATAGCCTTGCTTCAGCTGGAGAATTGGAACAGATGCTAGACTTGCTTCTGGCTGATGAGGATGCCACTGGGGGAATCCAGAGCACCACTATTACACAAGGCCTGTGTGTGTCACCCCATGCAAATGAGAATGCCCTGGGAAGTTTTGGAATTGAAGAAAAAGAGAAGCGTTGTGCAGTTGGTCCACAGTTAGACAAGATAAAACTTAGTCTCCAGCAAGAGGCCCCTGAGCTGAAAATCACCAAAAGAGCCGGTGACTCAACAAATGGGGGCCCTTTGTTGGACCCTGTCCTTAGCTATCTTCCTGAGCCTAATGGTGACTGTCTTTCCTTGTGCATGTCAGCCTCTCCCCCGCTGGGGGGTTGGGCAGCAGCTCAGTGTCAGCTGTCTGAATCCACAAATGGGACTGCCAAGTTTGCTGCGCCTTTGCCTGTCACTTGGACGGGTGATGAGGACCAAGGGCTTCTAACCTATGATGTGGGAATCTCAGATGCAGAAATGCAGTCACTTACTGAAGCAGTGCTGAGCAACCCTGGGCAGCACAATCTGGGCTGCAAGCTGCCGTCCTTCTTAGCCAGCCTAGAAGAAGAAAACGTAGATGTTGGTGGGGTAGAGGAGCTCTTTCTTAATATTGAATGTGTCCGGCCAGATCCCTCTCCTGTATCTGAAACTGAGGTGGATGTTCTGAGCTAGTGAGTGCAAGCGGTGGCAAGGAGTTGCTTTGACTACTTGGTGAGGTGGGGTAGTAGTCAGTACTGCGCTTAAATTCCATGGCGAGCAGTAAAGAATCTGCCACAAAGAGCAATTAATAGATTCCATAGCATTTTGAATATTTTGATCAGATGATGGAAAAGCCCCCTTTAAAATCAAGCTGGGGAGAGGCTGCTTCATTATCACCAACTCTCAGCTGCATCTAATCATGACCATGACATTGATATAATCTATTCTTTGCGTACAGGCCACTCTTCCAGGATGCCGGGGTTCTTCTGGCCTCTTGTGGGATAGGTAACCTACAGGAAATCTACAGCATTACTTCTGTGAAAAGAAATAACGTTTTATGTTGTGAGAGACATCTTGGGGTTGGTAATGATTTCACACAAACGTGTTCTGTTTAATTTCCTTTATAGATCAGAGCGTAACTGTCTTATAGTAAACAAGACTTTAAAACTCCAGCCACAGTTTAAAGCGTGCCCTATAATTCAGGGGACAAAATTATATTTTCTGGGAGGAGCTCTGTTATCCTCAACTGTTTAAGCTCCTGCACTTCCCTCTTAGTATTTTTAAAAAATATTTTATTTAATGGCCAGTGAGTTAAACAAACTTGGAAATAAAATTCATTGCCGCTAGGATAATTGTTTGGTCCCAAGCTGGGGAGCTATTACAGGACTAGGCAACGGGGTAAGAACAACTGCCCTCTTTGTACTGGCTCCCGTCAGTTCAATACTTCATTTTTTTGTCTAAAGGTCAGATTGGGACTAGAAAGAGCAGTGTCGGGTCTGCTGATCTCACTGCTATATTTCCCAGTTACTGAGGGTTGCACAGTACCAATTCAACAGCATTTACAGCAATAGGTACCTGGCTGCAAATGATAATTCTCTCTCCTTAAGCCAATATGTGGCTGGAAGCAACTTCCTTTTCTCCTACTTTTGGCCAGATTGTCTGCTTGAATTGAACTGAATCTTCTCCTGTTAAGTGGCCTGCAGCATTTAAACACTGATATAGGGAACTAAGTGCCCTGCTGACTTTCTGTATTTTAAATAAGAGAAGGCTCCCTAGAGGCTTGAGAATAAATGCCAAGTTCCTTGTTTTTCATTGAAACCATCTCCCTTGTGTTTGCAGCTTCTTCACAGAGAAGTGTATTCAAGTGCAGTGACCCATACCTTCATGAAGCTGTGCCAAACACTTCCTTCTCTCACAGCCCAAAGCTCTTCATGTATGGAGAACATTCTGAAGAGTAGATGGCACAAAGACTGGAATAAATGTTGAGTTGTAACTTGTTCAAATAAAATTGCTAAGTTTTCCTGGTACTTTTGTAGCTTATTTACACTGAAGTCATCTTGTGGAGTTAGCTGTGGCTAAAGGAAATGAAAGATGCGTACAGACGAATCATACAAATTGTAGGGCAAGCACTGGGGAGGTTTATAAACTCAGCATAGTAAACTGTAGTAGCAGAAGGCTTATAATACAGTAAAGTGAACTATCCTGAGCAGGTATTTTGTGCATAGATTAGATGAAACAAAATCTCAAAGGCTGAGGACCGCTTCCAGTAATGCAATAGGATAAATTACAGGAAATGTGAAAATTGAAAACTAGTAGCCACTGCTCTTTTTGTCAGGAGAGAAAAATAGGTTAAAGATTCTAATTAGCAATTTATGGCCCCTGGCAGAATGGCTTAAATACTCCAACTTGCCAAGTCGCCTCCCCCCCTTTTTTTGTGCCTTGGAGTCAGAGTTGACTCCTGGCAATTACCTGGACAAGTCCCTGCAGTTTTGGGGGGCAAGGTTTCAGAAGTGGTTTGCCATTGCCACTTCCTAGGGCTGAGAGTGAGTGACTGGCCCAAGGTCACCCAGCTGGCTTCATGCCTAAGGTGGGACTAGAATTCATGGTCTCCCAGTTTCTAGCCTGGTGCCTTAACCACACCACCAAACTGGTCCCTGGCAGAATTTTGAGTTAGATACTCCAACTTAGCAAGCCATTTAGCCACCAGGGAAACTGAAATATGCTTAAGAATTGCTGTATCAAGCCAAAAATGCTCAAATAGGGATAGAGCAGCAGTAGCTGCCTTGTGCTGTTGCTATTTAAGAGTTGGTATTTGAGGTTTGTTGCAGCTGTGGTTCAGGAGGTAATAAGCAGCTATTAGGATAGCTGATCTCTGCAAATTTGTCCCATCCTTTTTAAAACAAAATTGGGGGCCGTCACTTCAGTTTTAGCATGTGTTAAGCTGATTTCTTAGTCAAATGTTGAACCTCCTCCCCAAAAAAAACAGGGGGGGGGAGTTGGGTTTTCAGGACTCATCATTCTGTCATGACCCTGGAACTGAGGAAAATCTATGCCAATCCTAAATAACACAAATCTCTCATTGACTTTAAGAAAAATGAAATGTCAAAGTAAAACAAGTAGTTGTGAAGAATTCTCCCCTCTCTTTTCTCTGCCAACACAAGCTTCCAATTTGGATTATTTTCCTTCAATTCTAGATACCAAGGGACCAAATACTGTAGAAATTTTAAGTACAACTTCTAAAATGTCACTAGCGAACAAGCACACAAAATGTTTTAGATTTATTGGGGAAAAAACATTACAGGATAAAAATTTAGCAAGGTAGCCTGAAGCCATGGGAGGAATAAAAATGTAATAGAAAAAAAGTGTGAAATGATGTTTTCAGAAGTCATGTGTTCCTGTATATGCTTGAGAGGGCAATTTTAACACTTCAGTAGATAAAAGTTCGACATGTTAATACAGATGTGTAACTTTAATTTGCAAAACCATGGACAACACTAAACTGCTAGGACAGAATATTGTGACACCTTTATTTTACGGAACAGAATTAAACGAGATAGAGGCGGCAGTCAAGCTTTACTGAAAATAAAATTCTTCCGAAAAACGTTCCCAGGAATAAGAAACATTTTAAAGGATGGAGGGATAGGAAAGAATATCTGGTCCATTCTTCCTTGTGAGGGAGGGGCAGCAGTTTCAGAGATATGACCAGAGTTTCTTTACCCCACTTCATCATATCCCATCATGAATGCTCCAACTCACAGGACAAACGGCCATCACAGAGGCTGCAGAAAACGAAAGACAGCCATTAGCCACAGATCTTGCTCCCCAGTTCAAGAGCATCGCTTACAATTTCCAGGTGAACAACTGTTTTGTTTCTGTTTCTGAAACCATGTATTACAGATGCACATGATTATCCATAGTACAACTCTATACCCTAAGAGAGATTCCCACAGTGTAAAGATACAGAATTTAAGGTTCTACAGATGTAAACTACAATTCAAAACATTTAGATACTATGATCAGTGGTGGGTGCTGGATACTACAGATTTCCCCTCTTCAAGTGCAATTGTTCAAATACTGTACAGGGGCCAGTTGGCTGGCACAGGAGATTCAAAACCTTATTTTCTTTGGACAAATTAGATACTGCTCTAACCATGTACTTTCTGTATCACAACCCAGTCATTTAATCTGGAACCTTCAGCTCTAATACCAATGCCCAACTGGGACATTGGCACTAAATTTTAAAGATATGTAACCTGGTAGGCAGCTTTATTTCTGAGAAGTGGATGTACTACTGCATTTTCACAGGATAGTTAAAACAATTACTTCATCACCACCACCCTGCTTCTGTCTTTATGATATGACTACTTTTCCTAAAGGAAAAGGTACCAATAGAGGAACAGCAATGAAAGAGACTTAGTTCCATTTCCCACCAATTAAATACTTAAGCAGCATGCAACACAAACTGCTGGTAATTTTTGGCAACTGTACTGGGAAGAGGCTGTTGGCCAGATAGTGTCTTGGAAACTTGGGCTGAAATGAACGTGTTGTTTTGTTTTGGGTCCTGCATTAATTTATAGCAGTTCACATGATTTCCATAGATCCTGAGACTTGACTCTTGACCATAAAACCAGATGGATCTTTGAAGGCCTATTCATGCAGAACCAGTTCAATTCAGCTGTTCTGGATTTTGGTTCAGCAGGATGCCTGGTCTGAAAAACCCTACCTATGTAGTATCCACACTGTTCTGATATCCTAGCTGTTCTTTACAATTCTGAAATTCAATCTTAAAACTTGATGATTATCCAAAAAAATGTGCAAATTTGTCAACAAAACTCAGGCAAGCATCAATAAAACCTTGTTTGGGTGTACCTGAACTATGTAATCCTGAAACATCTAGCTATTTGTGTTTCATTTTGTCATCCTCCCAGCATTAGAGTGTTTAGATCTACTGTGGCTTTTTGATTCTTTGAGGAGCTTAGAGAGATGAAGCAGCAGAGACACCTAGAGCATCACTGGAGGTAGACCTCTTGAATCTGTCCAATCACTGGTAAAAGCTCAAGTTTGAAAAAAATATTTTGCTGCTCATCATGTCTGTTGAATAGAATCCAGCAGCCACTTTTATGGTGATCCGCTCCCTTCTATGGAATCACCACAAACACCTAAAGGGCCACTCTGAAAGAAGCTTGCAGCATTTGAGAGATACCAGATTCAAGCCAAGTTGGACTCTACAGTAGCTGCTCAGTGCCAATGGCAATGACTAGGGCTTTGCCTTGTGAAGTCAACTGGGATCAGTTTGTCTTCTGAGTGCTGGGAAGAAGATAGGGCTCTTTGTGGTGTCAACTCCACCACTTCTCAGCTGTATTCACGCCCCATATGGCTAGTTAAGGCCTCTGGTGCGATTCAGAAGGTTGGATTCAAGCAGTAGTCAGTGCTTCTTTGAGTGAGGGACTGTTTCTATCTTCGGTGAAAGATGCAGTGGTGTACCCCCTGCTCAACAAATAATTACTTGATTCAACTATTTTGGACAACTTTTAACCCCCCCCTCCTTTTGGAGAAGGTGGTAGAGAAAGCGGTGATACTGTAATTTTAGAGAACTCAGAACCATGGAAGTTAGGTTTCAGCATGGAAACTGCATTAGTTGCATTTCTGTATGACCTCTGGAAAGACCAGGGGAGTGCAACTTTCCTGGTTTTTCTTATCAGCCTTTTGAGGTAGACCAGGCCAGGAATTAAATGCCACAATACTAGGACTTGCTTTATTGATGTGGGCTATAAGAACAGAATCTTGAAAGCCTGACAGAGTTTCTTTTGCCCTCTCTGTTATACAAGGAGACTCAGGGTGGGGCAATCTTGAATTTATTTGTAATGCCTTCCTGGGCTAAGTTCATGTTTTCCCAACATCACAGCATATTTTCTTCAAGGCCATCTCCATATTCTTGTACATTCCTTGACCTCTCAGGGGCTTTTAATATTTTCAACCATGGTATTCTGAACTGTTGTTGACCGGACTGAGGGGCACCATTCTTTGATGGTGCTCCACTTTCCTATGGGATTGGTTCCAGTTGGGGGAGAAGGGTATGAGATCTCTGCTCAGAGACCTCTACTTTGTGGAGTGCCACAGGGTTCCGTACTGTTTGAGCATCTACATGAAACCACTGGAAGTGGTCATCTATCGGCATGGGGGCCAGACAGTATCAATATGATGATACTTAGTTATATATCTCAGCCCCACATCAATCAAGTGATGCAGTATAGGTGCTGAACCAGTGCCTGGAGGCTGTCAAGGACTGGGTGGGGAGGAGCAGACTCTCACTGAATCCCTCCAAGTCAGAATGGCTTTGGATCTGTAGGCCAACTGATTCCAGGATAGCATCAACTGTTACTCTGAATGACATTATATTCCCCTGCTTAGAAGTGGTCCCCAACTTGGACTTCGGGACTCACAGCCCCTGCTCAAGGAGCAAGTGGCAAATATGGCCACAACTTTTGCAGGTCCATCTTGTACACTAATTGCAGCCATTCCTGGATTGGGAAGCCCTGCTCACAGTCACTTAGCCACCTTCCATTTGGATTAAAGTCACACACTTTATATGGGTCTGCCCTTGAAAAGCATTCAGAAGCAATAGCTGGTATAAAATGCAGTGGTTTGAGCAGCGATTAATGTTTCATGTTACACTTGGGGGACTTAATCCAGTTGGCTTTCGGGTGCAATTTAAAATGTTAGTGTCACATTTAAGGTCTTATATGGCTCCAGAACTAGTTATCTGCAGGACTGCCTTCCCCATATTCATCAGCCTCTCTGATCAGGTCAGAAAGAGGCAACTCTCCTATCCACCTGATAGGACCCAGGAAACAGTCATTTTCAATTACTGCTCCCATGTTTTAGAACTTCCTTTTAGGAGTTAACATCAATTATTCACTGATAGTCACACAATAGTTTGGCTTAGACTTCACATTAAGCCATAAACAGATTTGTTTGTAATTTAGTTCAATGAATTGAAATGTTTGAATGATTATTCCATAGTTTTTGGCTTATCATAATGTGTGTAGAAGCAAGCCAATTGTGACTGGATTCATCAGATGTGCTAAGCTGTAAAGATCTGTTTGTGACCATGTGCCTGCTATTTTCTCCATGCCATCCCTCAAGATTGTGCATAGCTCTCTAAGGTTTGTAGCTTACTGTGTTGGCAGGATGTGGAACAAATGCCATCAGAAATGGGACTTTATAAGCTACAATAAATATCGGTATGAATCAAGAAGCTCAAGCTCTACACCTTCACCTCAGGTGGCAAAGTCTGCCCCCCTCCCCGCCACTCTGGATATGAACTTACCACTGGTGCTCCTACCCCATCATTGCTGACTTTACTTTAAGTTGCGCTTCACCATTTCAACAATGTTGCTGGGTTCTGGGAACTTCAGTTTACGGGGTGGCCCTTTCTTAAGGCCACTCCACAGCTCTGCCTCTAAAAGTAATTAAGACAAAAGGCAATCACGACCAGTATTTGGGTTATACGATGTCAATACATCCCATGCATACTGCCAAGAGGCTATGTGATTTGTAACCAGGGCTGAATTCATTGATCAACTAATTGCCTTTACAAAGAAATGGGGCTACTAGCAGCCACACTGTTCATGTCTGAACTACCTCTTGTTTTTTTCTGTCAAGCTGAGCCAGTTTTTCAGTTGGCACTGTGTTTGTAGGCTGATCAGATCAGTAACGCCAAGTTAGGTACCCAGCGTAAGGCACACTCAGGGAATGATAGGAATAGCTATTCAGGTTAGCCATCAGAAGCTGGGAACTGAGGAATATGGCTCCTGAATTTGCAGATTCCATTTTGACCTTATTTGGTGAACAGACGGTCATATTTCACTGCAAACTTATCCATCCCATTCATTCCATCCTTAAAGTACCAAATATGGCTGATACCCAATCATCAGCAACTATCCATAGCTGGCATGCTTTCTTCTGATCATTTTCATACATTTGGAATAGAAGTAGGTTGGGGGAGGCGATAGTTATTGAGGGAGGAAGAAAACCAAAACCCTATGAGGTCACATTAAGCTAAACAAACAAGAGTGGAAGGTAACATCAATGAAGTTTTCTTAAATGATAGAGACTCTGGAATAAATGTTTGGGAGAGAAATACTGCAGGAATGTTTATCTTATAAGGGCTTTCCCCATCCAGTGCTTCCAGATGCGGTGGACTTCCTCCCTTATATTCATCCATCCTGAACAGCAGCCAAGTTGAAAATTTTAATATCTTAGTTCAAAAACTTTCAGCAGCATGTTTTTTCTTTAGCCTCTGTTGGATCTACAAGCAAACAGAGGGTCTACAGTCTATAGTGGCAAGGAGAGTACCATAGCTTATATTTTTCCATCATCTTGGAAGCTAACAAAAAGCATCTTATACAAATAATAAATATCCTCCTTTCTAAGCTTAGCAAAATAAAATAATAAAATAAAATAGATTGATTTCTGCAATGTACTAGCCATTATTTAAAATTCCCTGCCACATTTGTGTTATGAAGAAAACAGTGACACTTCCTCGACAGAGCTCATAAACAAAACTGAATGTAGCTGCAGCTTGTATTAAAATAAACCAGACTGTATGAAAATGTGGCACAGCCATTCATTATAATGAATATATTGATCATCTTAGTTTTTCATATCTAAAATACAACATTTATCACTTTCACCTGGAAGGAAGATGATCTTGAATGTAGATCAACCTTTCCTCACCAATTTCCCTACCTTGTCAACCAGGGTTGTTAAATCACATTTTTTCCTGTTTGCAAGAAGGAAGTAAGCCAATATACAGCCTTGTGTTGTCCTTACTTGCAAACACAAGTAAACCTAGGTTTGTTTATTCTGTAGTAAGTCTCATTAAATTCAGTGGGTCTTATTCCCAGAGAAGTATGCTCATGAGATACTTCCCTTTCATCTGCATCTTGTTCCCTTCCATGTAAAGAGGGTGAATATCTGCAACAAACCATCTCCTTAGCCGTGGAAATTCTCCACCATTTGAGGATCTCAATTTGCCAAAGTCTTGATTGGTACGGAGGGTCTCCATGGAGAAAAAAAGGCAGATACTCAATATATGTAAAGAGTGACAAGACGGGGCCATGTTTAGTTCACTCATCAACCTCCCCCTTTGAAGATACAAGTTTTTAGCCACTTTGCATTTCATGCTCATTCTGTAGTTAGTCAGTACTATATTTTCAGTGAATACGTGTAATTATTTGAGGGAAAATATGGTATTAATTGGAAGAGCCTACTATTTCTCATTTCAAAACTGCATAACACCTAAAGTGATGCCCAGACATAAGATATGATGCAGCAGAACAAAGTTAACAATCTTTCTAGGCTGCACTGTATACGTTTACATAAGATCTGAGCAACTCATTCCAACTCTCATGAGATTTCAGGGATATACCATAAAATATTGTGCAAGGTTTTGCTGCTCTCATAGGAAATCTTGGCCATTTATAAAACTGAATTCATTTTAGGGGAATGAAGAACTGTTTTGTAGGGGAGAACAGTCTGGCATCCATGGGTTTTATGTTGCTGACTTCTGCAGTGGATGGTCTGATGTTGGATAAACAACTGAAAGAGCTTTGTATCAATACCCACCCCCACACCAATACTGTGAAATGTACACAGAGTTTGTGAGAGGGCTAATTCTCCTCTGATTCATAGTCACATTGGAGACACCTGACTTAGAATACTGGGGGGGAATCTGAAACTATTCTAGTAAGAAAAAGTCAAGAAGCACAGGGAAAAAAATGGGACTAAGATTAAATATAAAGAAAACCAAAGCAATAACAATAGGTACAGCAGACAATGTTTTTCCCTGTGACACACTATAAAAATGAAACCTGGACTTTGAAGAAGTAGGATAGGAAGAGTATTAATGCTTTTGAACTTTAGTGTTGGAGAAGACTTGAGAATACCATGGATATCAAATGCTATCTCAAACAAATGGATCATAAAACAAATCAATCCAGAGTTCTCACTTGAGGCACAAATAACCAGGCTCAAATTATTGGATTTTGGACACGTTATAAAAAGGCCTAACTTTCTGTAGAAGTCTATAATGATAAGGAAAGTGGAAGGAAAGAAAGAGGACAATCCACAATAAGGTAGATGGACTCAGTTGCACCTTTGAAAGATCTGAAGGACCAGATTGGGGATGGAGTATCCTGGAGAAAATCTATCAGTGTGGTCACCAAGAGTTGACACCAACTTGATGGCACATAATCAAGCTCATTCTGTAATGTCTTCCAGATAGATACAGCAATTCTTGAGAACTTGCTCACAAGCTTAACTCATGCACTGTACTACTTGTGGTCAAGTGTATTGTACAGCAAACTCTGCAATCTTAACTAGCATGGTTAATTTATGATTCAGCTGTTGTGTGAACCTAGGAAACTGGGTTAATGTAGTAGGCCACAGTTCAGCCAACTGTATATTCAATAGATCATAGCTAAGCAATAGTTAGCAATGAGATTGCAAATCTAACACTATCTCATTCCCATTCTCATAAGCAACAGAATAACTCACTGGTGCCATCCTTTTTCAAGAGAACCACTTCAAAGCTATTCCTCCGGGGTTTTTCAAGGTTGATCTCCACAAGGATGTCAGGAAAAGCCAGGCACAGCTCTTGGCTGACAGCCTCAGCTCTACGCCCAAAGACTCGTCAGCTTTTGCTGCCAATATTGAAGAAAAAGGAGGAAAAAACATTTTTATATAGAGGAACGTGAACTGTTATTTGAAAGTCCCTGTAGAACTTCAAAAGAAGTGTTTCCACCGTCTAAGCTTTCTCTTTTTGTTTCTTAACAAAAACCTAATTTTAACATTTTATTTGGGGGGGGGGGTTGTCTGTTATTCACAAATGTCCATTAAACTCAAAAATATGTCACTGTGGCGGCGATTTATGGCATTTGTGCGATACATTGCACAAATTGACATTTGCATCATGTCATTACATAAAAGACATACTGGCATAAATTCATGCATGTGTATCTCCTAAGTGACAGTTTGTGTCATTAACATCGATGTACAAATGACATGAACGGCTGCAGCAATTTGGTCCATTGCATGCAAAGTTTATTGTACTGAAGCCCAATTTTAGAATGAAATACTTGATTCAAAACAGATTCCATGTACAGTAGGCTACAGCGTTTAATCAATTAAAGCAGTTTTTCAAACTGTGTTTTGAACCCTTACGTTCCATGAGAACTTGATGGGGTTCTGTGAGAGACTAAAAGTAAAAGAAAAAAGAAAAGAAAAAGTTCACTTGAACCCAGCTAATTTTCTATTTTTAGAGCTTTGCCTCTTGAACAGAGATTCAGAATTTTTTAACTTACAGGTTCTGTGACCTCAAAAAGTTTGAAAACCCTTAAATTAAAAGATCAAGGAATTAAGAATATTAAGTACTAACAATGTATTTCTGTTTGAGTGGTCAGCAGAATTTATTTTAAAGCTGTTTTAATATGTTTACCTGTAAGAACAGCAGATAGCATTCTCTCCTAATTTGGAGGAACAGGTATCTGAAACAAAATCCCCGCCAGGAATCTCCAGATCTACTGAGGCTTTAATTTCTAGAATTCCTGGAACACCTAGTTTAGTGTATGTCAGCTAAGGGAAGGCAGCTCTAAGCTCCTGTTACAACATAAGTGCATCATTTAAAAAAAAATGAAATATCCACCCACACCCACAAAACTTGTTTTTCTCAACAAACTTAATTAAAAGTCACACTACTTAAATGTTAACTTTTTTTTTTTACTGGATGCCTATCCCAGGTCCAGGAATCATTTTCAGAATGGGGGAAAAAAAACTTACTTTAAAACAAGGTGTCTAACTGATCTCCTCTTTCAATATGTAGGCAATGTGTCAAGAATCTCTTACCAGTGCTCAATGATCACACGGAGATCTCCCAATCCTTCATGCTTCTTCCGTAACTTGGGCAATTTCTCCACATCATTGGCTCCCTCTCCATTAGATGCGGCAGCTTCTGCTTGAGGAATATCTGGCTTCCTTTTCCGCCCTTTGGGAGGCATTCTACAAGAGAAGGCAAGAAGGAAGAACAATATTGTATTTGTCCTCTTGGACTACAGGTAATTGATTTATGACCATTCGTTCAGCGACTGTTTGAAGTTACAGCAGCACTGAATGAAAGGACTTACCGCCAGTTCCAAAGTTATGGCCGCTGTAGCGCCCCCAACAATCACGTGATTTGGGTGCTTGGCAGCCCGCCTGTACTTACGACTGGAGGGGTGCTTCAACTCCCCCCACCCACCTATCTCCCCATCTATGCCCTTTTGGCCCCCTGCACTCTGTAGCCCGTCACTCTAGCTGACCTTTGCCATCTTCTTGCTCCCTCTGCTGACCAAGCATGCCCAACTTGGCCCTTTGCGAGGCAGCTGCTGGTTGCACAAGGCTTTCTTTCCAAGGTCATGCATAGCAGTTTCCTCATGAGACCTGGGGAAGACGCCCTCATATGGCCAGCAGCTGCCTCACAAAGGGCCAGGCCAAGCATGACTTGTCAGCAGTGGGAGGTCAGCTGGGGCAGCAGAGTGCAGGGCAGTAGGGATCTTGGAGTGCAAGGCAGTGAGGGCGGCTGGGCTGGGGCTTCCTAGGGTGGCTAAGGCTTTGCGCCATGGTGCTGGGCTGTGGCTTTGCGCCATGGTGCTGGGATGGTTGTGGCTTCCCGGAGGGCTGAGACTTTGTGCCACACTGCTGGGGTGGCCGGGGCTCTGTGCTGTGCTGCTGGGGTTTTGCTCTGTGCTGCCGGGCCGGCTGAGGCTTCCAGGGGCGGCTGTGGCTTTGCTGCAGCTCAGGGGCTTCTTGCAGCCCCAGAGCTGCGGTGCACGAAGTCCTGAGCTGCAACATGGCAAGCAGCCCCAGACCATGCAGTTCTGGGGCTACTTGCTGCCTCGCATGGCAGGGTGCAGAGCAGCAAAAACAGCAGAGTTGTTGGGGGGAGATAGGTGGGGGGAGTTGAAGAGGAGGCAGTCCCTTACCTTACTAAGGCTCAGGGCTGGGAAGGACTAAGCCCAGAATGGCTTATATTGGGGTGGGTCCTCAGCTAACAATCAGTGGGATTCAATTAACAATGGCAACAGGGAGTGCTGGGATTGCTGTCACTAAGGGATGTGGTCACGTGACGTTTTACGACTGCATCGCTTAGCAACGAAAATTCCAGTCCCAATTGTGGTTGTAAGTTGAGGATTACCTGTATAGATCTCAGTATGTGGCAGATCTTTCTGGGAAGAACAGACCAAAGAAAGAGTGCTTAGAGAATGCTTATTTATTGTGTTATTAATCTGCTTTACTGATGATAACTCTCATTTGAAATCCATCCACTGTATCTTCTGCCTTTTTTCCTTTCACAGGAAGATGGAAAGAGAAAAAGGTAGAATAACTGCATACTCTATCTGGAACCATCCAAAGATATAGCAAAAGCCAAGCAGCCTTGATTCACTGAGTTCAGAAGTGCAAAAAGTGGGGCCAAGGGCTCATCAGCATCTCTTCTGCCCTCATCTCAGGTATTTTATTTAGTGGCACTGGGTAGGGATTAATGAGCTTAAAAGGATCCATTCCATCCTTTAAAACTCCAGAAAATCTGGCCCTTAACATGCTATGGAAAGCCTGGTGTTGCTCTTCAACTAATGGAAGTTACTCACCCCTCATTTAGTTAATACTGTCAACTGCAGTTCCCAACCTAAGCCCTCCAGATACATTGAACTGTAACTTTCCATGCTAGCTTAGAATTATGGGAACTGTAGTTTAACACATTAGGAGAAAATGGGAGAGGAGGTGATCTACATACTACTGGCTGCAGTAGTCCAGGATTTTCAACAGTCTTATCAAAGTGTTCTTCAATGGCAAGCAATGAAATTGGGTTTTTTTTCCATGCAAAATACACCTTTGGTGCTTCAGTATTCAGAAACATCTCCACCAAACTTTTGGCAAAGAGTGTAGAATATGGGTTTGTGTGTGCTATTACCTCCAGGCTTCTCATCAAAAGAGAAAGCAAGACAAAAAAAGAATATAAATGATCATGGTTTATTTAACCCATGTATAACCAAGAAAGATCCAGTGTAGGGTAGTTTAATAATGTTGGGATTTGCTGGGAAGACCAGGGTTCAAGTTCCCATTCAGCTATGGGGCTCACTGGATGAGATGCTGAGCTCTCGGAGAAAAGTATGGATGGATATAAATGCAATGAATAACGACAAAATCAATAATCTTGGACAACGTTATGATAAGAGATTTAAAAACTTGAAGAAAGGAACGAGAAATGGCAATAACCACAACTTAAATAAAAGCAGAACAGAATCAGTTCAAAAACCCTCGTTTGAGAAGACAGAAAAACGAACCGCGGGATGTTTGCAAAGAAGAAAAGCACTGAGATTAAACATTAAAACATCACGGCTCTACAGTTGACGAAAAGAGATCCTGCTCTCAGATTTAGAGGGGTAATTAAACCGATGACCCAAAATCTAACTATGACTAAGAATAGAGCAACTCCGGCTTTTCAAGAAGCAAAGCAAACTTGCCGCTTTTGTACTATCGACAGTACAACCCACGTGCTGGGCAGGTTATGCTCAAGAACGGGAAATCTCCCGCAGCTTCAACCAGTGGCGCTGAGTGGAAGGGAACTAGGCACATGGACGATAAATCTGCAAAAGACAGATGAGTAACCCCACAGGCCAAATACAGGGAGGCGCGTTCCTGGCTCACCTTCCAAAGCGCCTGCGACGAAACCACAACAATCCCGCGGCTTTCAATCCCCCGCGCGCTAAAGACTTTCGTAAGATGGCCGCTACCGCCGCCCTCGTGAAACGGGGGCGTTTTGAGTGAGGTTCCGTAGCAACCAATCACGACTCGCTTTCGAAGGGCGCTGCGTCAGCTGGGCACGTTTTCAAGGGCTGCTGCAAATCGGTGTAGCAAAGGCTGCGACTCTCCGCTGGGTGGACCGCAGTCAGAATCCCGCCTAGTCTAACGCGGTGGGCGGGACAGGCAGCGGCGCGCTTCAGCGAAAGGCCGGCGCTTCCAGAGAAACGGGAACTGCGGTCCGCCGCTCTTCCGTCACTGTGAGCTTCCTGGGGTAGCTTTTGCTTGTGCAATTGTCCTGCTTCATTCACGGAAGTATCTTCTGCTCTTCCGTGTCGCCCACTGCTTCATAGAGCAGAAATAGTTGAATCCAACTTGTAGCTCAGTGGAGAATCTTGCAATACAGTAAGAGATGCTGCCCAGCGCTCTAACAAAGGGGCGTACTGTACATTATTTGCCTCCTGAGAGAATCTCTCCCGCTGCCAGACCGCGCTCATTGGCTGAGTTCACACAGTATGCTAAGCCAGAATTGATGCATCGTGGCTTAATGTTGTGCAAAATCAGACAATTAATTGACATATAAGCCTCAATAAGCTTATGTAGTATAAATCATCAGGATTTTTTTTTTAAAGGCAAGAAAAAATAAGATTGCTAAGACCCATATTAAGAAAACAAAAAGACCAGTTATACCCTTTAAACTATAGATCAATAAGCAGGGTCACAAGCTGCCCTGTTGAAAAAACCAAGTCTTCAAGGTTTTTTGAAATTATAATAGGATTGAGGCCATACAGACTTCAGAGGAATGCTGTTCCAGAGAGTATGGTTAGTTTATGGATCATTGTGTTGTGAAAACACAGCTGGGGTGTTTCTCCTAACCTTGAGCTAAAATCTGCTCTGCTATTTCCATCAGTTGGGTCTAGTCCTGCCTCTGGGGCCAAAGGTAACCTCCTCCAGAAAAGTGATGGGCAGCTGAACATGACTTGCCCCTTGCCACTGCTAAAATAGCATCAGATCCCAGGTAAGACACCTCCTTCATTTGCCACTGAACAGTTTTGTAATAGTACCGTTACATATTCTGAGAGCAAGAAGGGCATTAGCAGTCAGACTTCTGAAGAAAGAAGCAAGTCTCTTACATCTGTCAAGGCAGCAGAATCCATACAAGCTAATCCTTGAACAGGAATTCTCATTTAGATAGGTGGAAGATTAGCAGCAGTGTTTAGTTAATCCTTTTAACATAAAACATGACAGTCTGCTAGGAACAAGGTGGGCTACAAATATTGTTAAATAAATAAATAAATAATAAAATGCCATCCTTTTTTTACTGCCTGCTTGACTCTAGGATACAAATGATAGGATTTTCTTTTATGCAGACAACGCTTGATCACTCAATACGATGAAATTCTAACTCAATTTCAATTTTAAATAAAGAGTAAATAGCACAAGGCTAATTACATTTGCCCCCAGCTACCAGATTCCTCTAGTTTCTTCACTGGCTTGTGTTTCCACAATATGCTAATCCATACTTTACTGCATTAACCTAACTGGGCTGGCACAAAAGTGACACCCATGGGCAGGATACATAAAATATACTCGCCCATAAACTAACCACCCCCATTTTAGTCTAGTGAATTGTGTGAACCTATCCACCATGAAACTCATTTGTTTTCTGCATATCTTCTATAAATGTACCCTGGCAGAAAAAGCGAAGGCCTGAAAATGCTGCTGGATAAAGAATGAGCTGAGCCTTGAGTAAATTAACCTAAACTTTAAAAACCTGTAATTTTTTAAAAGCCAAAGTCAAACAATGAAGGTGGGAACTCTACCAATCATATAAAAAAATCAGTAAGTCACAAGAATACAACACTCCCAGATTTATTAAAGGCACCTGTACAAGACAATTAACAGAAGCATGAACACAGTTGAACCGTGGTAATTTGCAGCATTTCCACCTACAGGCAAGCCCTCCATATTAGGAGTACAGCAACTAAAAACTCTAGGACAGACTTGCCCAACCCTTGCTCTATCCAGATAGCCATACTGGCTAGGAATTTCTGCCAATGTAGTCCCAGAACATCTGCCACATTAGTTAAATCCTATTTTGTGCAGTATTAGATGGATGATAGAAACAGCATTTCCTCCAAGTCAGACAGTTACACTAAGCTACCAGCTGTTACTATCAAAGACTGGAGATCTTTTAGGGCTGCATAGTAGCCACTGGTTCTCTGGCACAGTTTCAGGTTCAGCAAATATTCTACTATTGCCCATTAGCTTCTAAAAAAGAGACCACAAGAAACCACAAGACCTTTCTTAATAACAATAACAATGACCACAATAATAATAGGGCAATGGGTAGTGGTAGCAGTAGCAGAAACTGGTCAGTAATATTAATATCGTCTCAGAGTGAACTTTCAGGAGTGAAGGGAGCTGATTTCATGCAAGATGTGGGTTTGTCCAATTTTGCCACTGAAATCATATTGATAAAACAAGAAATAGATTAACCTCTCCATTGCAGTGCTTTTCCTATTCATTCCCAGAAAAGTAACCTGCACCTAATATCTCAGAGTTTTATGGGTGATACTCTCCTTAAGGAGGTCACCAAGATTTTCTCTGGCTGGTTCTAATGTATTAAATGTCAGTAGTGACTCCTGGAAGGAGAATCTGGAACAGAAACACAAAAGAAAATGTACAGGTCCAGTGGCCAACAGCAGAGCCCAGGATGATAAATGCTTTAGTAATTATACTCATCTCCCAGCACCATCATTGTTGGGTGGAAGCAGTCTTTGGATGATGTCCCAGGAGAAATGTCAGGATGGAAACAGAGAGAAATGGAGAGCTTAACAGAAAGGGCATAATGGTCCAGTCTTACAGGCGCTATTTGTCTTTCTTGCTCTCTCCATTAGGAAGCTCTGTGACAGCAGACTGTTCTGAAAATTCCTCAAAGTTCTCATCTGTATGCTTGGATATTTTCTTGGCTTTCTGGTACAGCTCATTCAAATTGAATTCCCGGATCACATTCTCCTGTAAGAGAAAGACATATGATGGTTGCCTTGTGCCAGCCTCCAGCCCTCCATGTGACAACAACTCAATTTCAATAATTTAGTAATTATCACACATATTACTAGGAATCTTTGCTACTATCAACTATGGCCAAAGGGAATACCTCAGAAAAGTTCCATGAAACTGCTCGTCCCTTCTTATCAATCTGTGGCCGGCGCATCACCTCTTTACCACCTTGGAAAAGGATCAGGGTAGGCAGCTGCTTAGTGAGAGGAGAGGTGCTGATTTTGTACCTGTGAAGAGATGAATGAAGTCCAAAAATAATTTCTGAAAAGTAGTGTCTAATCAAGGTTGCTAATCTTTTCTGGCTTCACAAACAAACAGGCCAAGAGTCTCTCTTGGGGTCCAACAGAAACATGATATTTGTAGGCACTGTAGTACCCATAATTGTGTGTAACTCAAAGCTGGAAATCTGCTCCCCACCACAGCCAGCATCTCTTCAGCAGCTCTGAGCCTAACCAATTATATCATGGGATTACCAACCAGATTTTGGTCTACAATGTTCTCCTTTTCCCCAGTGCCCTACTATTAGAAAATAAATCTTCCCAATGTTCTTTCTCACATATCTGGCACGCTAGTCTGTCTAACTATCCTAGAGGTCAACAAAGGCTGAGGGCTTACTTGGTGCTGACGTCAGGATAGCGTCCCACATCAACCTTTCCAAAGTTCAATCCAGTGCAATTATATCTGGTAAAATATAACTGTGATTAGCATGTACATAGAAATGCCAGCAAGTAAAATAATATTTGATGACAGCAACAATTATCCTCCTCTTCTCTTTTTCTTCAGGTTTCCCAGAATGTGACTTCTAGGCAATTTTCCATTGAGGCACTGTCCAAATTAAAGCCAAGTTATTTTCAGTAAAGTTGTGGCATAAAGTGCCTTCAGGCCAAACCTAGGAAATATTAATCCTCAAGGAGGATACAATGGATCTCTCCAGTTTTTTTTACCAAAACTTTGAATAAGGAACAGCCACTTAGAGATATCAGATTGTATTACATTTATTTACTTATTGCAATTACAGCCTGCCTTTCCTTTAACTTCCTCACATGGGGTCATACTTCATTTTATCTTTCCAACAACCATGTGAGGTAGTTTGGACTGGGAAAAAAAGGCTTGCCCCAAAGTTACACAATAAGCTTTATGATCAAGTATGAATTTGACCTAAGTTAGACAGAGTTTCCCTAGTCTAACCATTACACCACAGAACTGAATTTTCTTTTAAGCTATAGTCACTGTTACCAGGAAGCAGGGATTTTATCCCTGATTGAAAAAAAAGGAAAATGTTCTACACTGTGGCCGTCTGCTGGCTACTGCTGGAAGCAACATACGCTACCAACACTTATCTGAGAGCCCCCAAAAGGTACCCCTCAGCATAATAGTAAAAAACATGCTGAGTGGGAAGGCTATATCCAGGTTGATTCAGGGATTTTAATCCAAAACAGCCAGTAGCTAATCAACTATTGTCATTCTTTATCAGTTCTGCTTCTAGACCTCTGTTCCTTTCCCCCATGTCACAATAAAATCTCCACAAAGAAAAGTATTTTTCATTTTCATTTACTTTTCTCAAGAACAATATTGTTTTTATACAACTCCAAAGCCTAGTCTGTGAGCCCTTTTTGAGCATTTGTGTTCAGTGTTTCTGACAACCTCAATCCTAAAAAACATCAATACATCAGTGTTACTGTCCCAGTAACCCAATGGCTTTATCTTCATTCATCAAGTAATATAGTATTTTGTCTTTGAAATGATACACAGGAATGCAGACTTCTGAAGCAGTCTTCCTTGACCAGAATGCCTACTAGATGCATTGGTTTCAACTCTCAGAATGCTCAGGTATGGTCATGCTGGCTGGATACTGCTGAGAGTTGAGGTCAACACATTTGGAGGGTATCCAGGCAGATTTAAGGTAAGTGCTGCCATGATGAATTCTTGGGGACTCCTTGAGCATGATTTGGGGATGCGGAATAATGATTAATAGAAGAGACAAGACTGCAGACTGGGAAGGGGAAGCTGGAACAGAGTGATGAAAAATAGTACTTGTTTCAAGTCCCACTTGTCCTATCTAAATGCTATACATGGGCTAAAATAGATGGGACCAGATAAGTAATAGCCAACTAATTTGAGGATAACTGGTGGCCTGCTGGCTCTCTGCATGCTCTTCCCTTCCTTTTTGCACAGTATGATTTCCCTAACATTACTTAGAATGAGGTGATTTGGAGGAGAAGCCTGCCCCTAAGAATATTATGTTTCTTCTCACCTATACGTTTTACTCCACTTTCTTCCTAATTGTAGTTCAGGCATATTGAGTACACATTAGTATCCCTAAGTCATAGCTACTGTGAACGCTTCAAACTTTTATTTTCAAATTATAGCTGTAACTACTGAAAAAGACTCAGTGCCAGTTTTCTAATTATTATAGCAAAGGAAAAAGTTTTGAATCCAGCATCAATGCATTAATTAAATAAAACTGTAGAAGCTGATTGTCAGGGGCTGCAAGATACATTAAAGCTAAACATTTTGGGGGGAGGGGAATGGGTGTACCTTAAAGAATACTTTAGGGAGGACACAAATCTTAAATTATTTATTGCTATCTTTAGGAGAAGATAACCACTATATGTTTTGCAGTATGAAGCATCAACTACAACTCATACAGTTCCGTGGCCAGTGCTTTACGATTGACTGCAGTACATGAGTCTCTGCTTCATCTCCAAAGACTCCCTACCTCAGAATATTTAGTCAAGTGCAAATCACTCACTTGAGAGACAAATCAGCATAGATAGGAGCAAATGACTGACACTCATTGGACCAGTTAGCAAAGAATTCCACAATCCAGGTCACTCGCTTGTCTCGTGCTAGTTCCTCCTGTAAAAGAGGGATCTTGTTGATAGCCTGCTCATCATTCAGAAGTGAACATGATATATAATATTCCGGTAGCTGAAAGAAGCCAGAATTTTATCCAATTCATCCCGAAACAAATGGTCTGCAAAAAATAAAATACTCACATCTATGGTTTTATCACTGAAATATTTGATGTGTTCAGGACCCAGGTACAAAGGTGGCTTGCAAGTCATGAGGAACACTGAAAATGCACAAGAAGATCTTAGCACTATCAAGGATCAGATGAGGAAGCTGCACAGCTTGTTGAGAGCCACACTCCACAAGTATACATAGTCACTTTATTTAAATTTTTTAAAAATCATTTTAATTTTTTATTTTGCACACTGTATCTGCATACAGGGTTTTTTCCTTCATTAAAGAGCACTATGACACTGCCATTCTTTTTTTCAATCTCATGATATCTATTACTGATAAAAATCTTGCACATGTTTGAGGTTTTTTGGAAAGGACAGGGAAAGCTGCAGGTGAATGAGTAAGTGGGGTTGGGGAAACAAATATAGACAGGCTGAAGGAGAATGGGCAGGAAGGCAGGGAGCAAAGAAGGCAAAACATGTGGAGTCAACAGGGAAGTAACCAATAGAAAGGGAGGGTTGGTGAGACAGGAGTTGTGTTTCCTTCTACATGATACAAGTCGACAATACCAGGATATCAGACACAGAGATCAGGGAAAGTTTGTCCTATGGTACCCAGGAATGAATGAATGAATGAATGAATGAATGAATGAATGAATGAATGAATGAATGAATGAATGAATGACTGACTGACTGACTGACTGACTGACTGACTGACTGACTGACAGGCAGGCAGGCAGGCAGGCAGGCAGGCAGGCAGGCAGGCACACGGGCAGGCACACGGTGGAAAAGCAGAGTAATGTTTTCAAAAATCAAAATCCCATGCATAATGATGCAGGGTCCTAAGTGGTAAAGGGTATTTTATAGCTCAAGCCCAATTATTTCTGGGATCTAAGCCCTACATGAAGAATGTAAATTCAGCCTTATCCCAGAGACCTCACCTAAGCAGAGTGTGAGATACAGTAGTCCCATCCGGATATCAAGACGAAAGAAAAGGATGACATTGGCCACTTTGCTGAACATAAAGATATTCCCCACATGCTGGTCCACAGTAACTTGAGAGACAAGAGATATAAAACAGGGTTATCAGCAGGATTATATGAAACACTCCTGGATCAAGTAATGACTATGGCAAGCTAGGACAACCTGAAAAGCCAATTTACAGCATCTTATTTTTATAATTCTTGACATCGGAGATCCTCAAATTTTGCAGTGCTATGACCCATCGTAATGATATATGAATTTGTGCAATCTCTATTCCAAGAATAAAATTAGGGACTTCACTGGGCTGAGGACTGGGCAAAAATTTACCATGTACTATTAAAAATGGGGTTTTAATCTATATATCAAGTAAAACAATGACAGAACCTTGCAATCTTATAAGTAAAACCTTTTCATTGGTAATAAACAACAGTCACATTTAAAATCCTTTGTTTTTTAATAGCAAGGATGAGCTATTAAAACCAAACCAAAATCTGGGGTGAACAAACAAGTCTTCAAGGCCTTACAGAATGCCAACAGGGTGGGAGCCACACAGATTTCAGGGGCAATCTCATTCCAAAGGGCAGGGGCCGCCTCAGAGAAGGTGTACTTCCTGATCCTGATAGATAACACTGTTTAATCAAAGGGTCCCAGAGCGTGCTATTAAAGACAAACCAAAATCTGGGTTATTTTAAAAAGCCACTCTCAGTTATTATTCCACTTATGGCACAAGTTGGCAGTAAAACATTACCGGGGGCCTATAATGAAGAAGGGTTTCCTCTGACAATAGTAAGCACTGGCTAATAGGCCACTTCTGCAAAAATCTGGAAAAGAACTGGATGGCAGCAATAAGATATAGCAAATTTACTCTTTGCTAGCATCTACTGGTTGTAATCCAGATTTTTGAAGTTTAGATTTGGTCACCCTAGTTAGAATAGACTTGTGTTTGATTATTAGCTGGATTTTGGTATGTTTGGGTGTGTGTAGAAAAAAAAAAAATAAGGTAACAAATGTCATTCTAGTTTTGGGAGGTGAAATCACCAGATGGTTACCAAGCAAATGCAAACCTACATTACTTAGATCCCCACCACCACCACTAACTGGTAAGTAACATTACTTGGGGAGTGCATGTCTCTTTTGATATTGGAAAAATGCATGTGTGTAGGATGGGGAGAAGGAGCACCATTCTGGAGAGCTTTGATCTGAGACTGTAAGATATAGCCCAGGACACCAAGAATTATTATAGACATTAATTTCTTTCAATTTAAACACCACCCAACTCCAACTGGTTCTGGGCTGTTCAGAAATAACAACATATAAAACAAAACAAAAATAAGATGGCATCCGGGCACAATATAGAAACAAAAACAAAAATAACAGACATACCCAACAAGAGGTCCTATCCGTCTCACCCCAAGGCCTGGGAGAACAAACAAGTCTTCAAGGCCTTACAGAATGCCAACAGAGTGGGAGCCACACAGATTTCAGGGGCAATCTCATTCCAAAGGGCAGGGGCCGCCTCACAGAAGGTGTACTTCCTGGGTCCTGATAGATAACATTGTTTAATCAAAGGGTCCCAGAGCATGCCAACTCTATTGGCACATATAGGTCAGACACTTACTCTTCCCTCAGAGAGTAGATGTTTGATATTCCCAGGAAAGAAGGAAGGTTTCTGTTTCAGCATCTAAGCTGAGGAAATCAATTGCCCAAAATGAGAAATAAGTTACATTCTGTGACCCTTGGTGCCTGCTTCCTCTCCCTCCTCCAACATGCCTACAGCCGACTGCCTATTTAGGGCAGCCTCCTTGAACTCTAATTCACTCCTTGGAATCACAGCTTTTAACTGCACCTCTGGGTTATTGCGCAAATTGCCCCACACCCCAACACTACAGGCAAAGGAAAGCCAAGAAGAGACCTGTTTATAAGGTTTCCTGCTTGGCAATTCCCAGAATAGCAAGTGCCCAGAATGGGGTAAGCCTTTTGATCCAAACTACAGCATCTTTACCCTGCACAATGCAGGGAGATGGGGGTAGGCATTAAACTTGTGCACACAAAGCCAGCACTGTCAGAATTTGTCCCACTCTTTGCTTGGACAATTAGACTGCTGGCTTGTTCAGGCAAAGCAGGAGCAAGTTCTGATAGTGGCCCAGCTTTGCAAGCTGATGTTCATTTAAAAAATGGTGATTCCCCTCCCACCACACAACTCCTGATCATAAAATCTGCAAAATAATTTTATGTATTTCCATTTGAGTATTTGTATAGCTTTTTTAAACTGATAACTTCCTTTTATTCAGTTCTCATTTCCATGTTTTGTATCTGACCCCTTCCTACATTTAAGGAACATAATACATCCATTGGAATGAAACTAATTAACGTGCTATTTTGGGAAATACAGGTTATTTATTCTGCAGTCCTGCTGCCATACCTAACTCATATCCCAGGCACTATGGCTCTGTTTTACCCTTATCTCTCTGATGCCCTTTGCTTGTTTCAACCCATAACATATCCATATTAAGTACATAAAAGCTTTGTTAATCTCCATATCTTTAGATTGTTCCTACCCATACATGAGAGAAACAGCAAATTCCTTTTAAAGCCCTTCCTCCAATAGGAATGCATAGAGATAATTAAGCCATTGTACTCCAGGAGCAGGTGCCTTGCAGCCTTTTGTTTTATTTACTGTACAAAGATAAGACCACTGCTAAGTTCACACATGCATTCCATTCTGCAGCAGCTATTTACTGCAGGCACTTAAGTTGAAGTGGCCTGACTATCCATTAGAAAAATTTCTAGTACAAATAAAGGCTACCTATAAAGTTTTTCTTCTAAATATTTCAAAAAAATGACAATTGAAAATTCCTCTGCTGCATAATACAATGATATGTTTAGAACTGGAAAGAGTTTCATATTCTAACCAAGTGTACATTCCTCCCCATATTTTCTAACCAAGTATACATTCCTCCCTGGTCCACAGAAGAGCCATGAGTAAGGGACTGAGAAAGTCTTCATCTTATTAACCTCGGAGATAAATTTCATTTGAAAGGGGGAAAACAATTCAGCTAAGAAATCTATCTTATAGATAGAAATACCATCATTCTATCGTCTTTGAATAATTCTTGAAATTCTGGAAGAGCCTTGCTTTTTGTGGAGGTGGAAAGACTAAAAGCTTGACATACAGGTAAACTATAGAAATCCTCCCTACCCCAAGAACAGTATTACTCACTGGATCGGCGATTCTTCATCATCACAATGGCACTCAGAAACATCAAGATCTCCACTTCCCGCTAAAAAGAAAGCAAAACTGGGCACTTAATGACTATCAAGTAAGGGAGTAAAAGATCTAACTAGGCACAAGAACTGGGTTAAATACAAATTTCATTTCAATATCGCATTATAGCTACTGCCAATTAATCCCTGGTATCATTACACAGCTACCCATACTGTCCATTTTGACCAAAAACAAGGCCACAAAGCAAGCAGATGGATGTGTAGTCTTTCAGTGTGTGAATACAGCAGCAATACCATACATTGGAATCTGAATATCTTTGGGATATTTATTAAATCATTTACATAATTTAGATGCAATAACATTCTGTGACATTACACTATTGATACAGTAACTGCAAGGTTTATTAAACCAAAACAAATGATTTATCTGCAGTAATGTTCCTACACATTACGCCATTTATGCAGCATCTGCAGAGTGAAACAATATGCTCTCACAAAACATCCAGCTCATAAAATATTTCATAAGAAGAGAAATCATGTTTGTTACAACAAGAACAGATAATACTGCAGCCTCTTAAACATGCCATGAACATAAGCAGTGACCTGCTGGATCAGACCCCTGACCCAACTAACCCAGCAGTCTGATTTCACTGTGGCCAACCAACTGCACAAGGAAGCCTACTAGTCTCCCAGCAGATGGCCTTCAGAGGCAGTCACACTACTATCAAGATTAAGAGCCATTGATCCCCATGACTTCCATGAATTGGTCCAACCCTTTTTTAAAGTCAGCCAATCTAGTAGCCAGCAGCCACATCTTGTGGTAATGAAATCCAAAGTTTAATTATGCATTGTGTAAATAAAATATTTTTGTTTGTCCTGATTCTTCTAAGATTCAACTTCGCTGGGTGACCTCTGGTTTTAGCATTTTGGGGGAGGGAAAGTAGCTTCTCCTTCTCCACTTTATCCACACTATGAATGATTTGTACACTTTAAACATGTCCCCTCTTCTTTACCTCCTTTCTAAACTAAAAAGCCCCATGTGTTGCAACTTTTCCTCAGAGGAAAGCTGTTCCAGTCCCTTGATAATCTTAGTTGCTCTCCTCTGAATCTTCTCTAGCTCCATTATATCATGAGGTGTGATGTCCAGAACTGTACACAATATTCCAGATGTGGTTACAGCATTAATTTATATAAGTGTATTATGATATTGGTTTCATTAATTTCAAGACTGTTTCTTGAAAACCCATAGCAAGCTGTTAGATTGTTGTTTTTTTACAGCAGAAGCAAACTGTGTATATATTGAACTATTCATCACAAACCTTCAAAATGTTCTTAAGGTGACAAAGCTTAGACTTCAATTAGTTTTTGAAGATATTGCAGATATATTGTTTTGCTTTTATAGGCAGAAACCATTGGCTGGTTCCTGAACAAGCTAGAGCCCACTCATAATATATCAATCACACTGATTTATGTGTCGATGTAACTCATGTATGAATATGTCTTCGCATGGGCATGTATATGTAGCATTATTGAGAGATGATCCCTCTATTCCAAACCTAAGATTAGGATATATTCAGCTTCTAAAGAACTCCTGAAGAAATCTTTTAAAACTACTTTGGTAGATATGCAATGATAAGCCTCCTCAACCAAACATCTACAATCTCACCACGGATGATGGAAACTATTTTTCAGCACATTTGGAGAATGTCCACTTGAGGAAAGCTGACCTGAGTGGGTTGCAAGCTAGATGTCTGCTTATTATGCTGTGAAATGAGAGAAACACACACATCCCAAAATCTGAACACAGTAACTTAAAACAGAGACAGGAAAAAGCCTCTGCCACTTTAATCACTATGCTTAAGGATCACATTACTAGAGGTGAGAAGTGAAAACTGCCTAACACTACACAACACTTCTCAGAGACAGAGAAATGCATTATTTCTGTTCATGTTTAATGAATGTATAACCTTTTAAAAAAAATTTAGAACATTGTCATAATGCAGCTTCGAACAAATAAATGCAAAGCATCACGATCACAGACTTTCTGGAAATAGTCAAGGTATGAAAACAGCGCAAAGCCACGAACACGAGTTGCTCGGAATCCGCTTGTGATGTTAAGAAGGATATGAACAGGTTGGGGCTTTTCGCTCTCGTTTCCGTCTCCTGGGTGAAATGAGCGAGACCAGGAGAGCCTCGAGGCGCTGGAGCGAGGAATCTGAAGCATGAAAGGCCTGCAGAAGCGATGGGAGATCAAACGCGCAGCAAGCCCAAATGAGAACGGTTGTGGGGAAAGAGGCTGGAGGCCGATCTTACCCAGTCGAAGTCGCAGGAGTTCCCGTCCTCTCGCTGGCTAGGCAGACCGTGGCATAACGGTGGCACCTTCCGCACCAGCAAGAAGGCTGCCGAGAGTAGGAGGGAAAGCGGATAATAAGGCTGCGCCAGCCAGCGGCAAAGTCCAGGCACCGAATAGAACAAGGCTAACAAGGGAGCAAGCACCGCCATCTTCACCTCACACTGACCGAGACTCGGAGCAAGACTTCCTCCCGCCCACCTGAGTCCCGTTCTTTGCTTTTGATTAAGCGGTCGATACCAACGTCGATCAAAGAAAAGGCGGGACTCCGCGGTCAATAGTGTGCTCTTATTGGCTGGTAGAGTATCACCGCTAGCTCTTCAGAATCGCAACCAAGGGACTGCTTTCGGTCCCTGACTCATCGTATTGACGTAACTCCGCCATTTAAAAATATGTCATTCAACTAGCTAGCCAATCACAGCATAGTCGAGTTTCCAGGTGAGCTAGCCAATCGTATACAGAGGAGGGGTCATCGCCTTCCAATGACACCAACGCGAACGTAGGAAAGCGCCGGATGCGAAGCCAATAGGAGGAGACTGCGCAGAGCACGCCGGGATGATGGAGAATTTTTCTGCTCTCTTCGGAGGGACAGAGCCTCCTCCGTCTACAACAGCTGCCGCGCTAGGCTTTGGCCCAGGAAAACCAGGAGGACCCGGGACTGGGCAGCCTCCTGTACCAACGGTGACTCCAGTCGGAGAGGAGACAGCACGAAAAGCGGCAGCCGCCAGCGGTCCTTTTTACCTAATGCGCGAGTTACCAGGTAGTGGCTTGTGGAGGCGGGCTTCAGGAGCTCCTTAACCAACCGCCGCCTAGAGGCGGGCGTTGCGTTTCTGGCCAGTGTTGTTTGAGGGCCTCGGCGCGTCACAGGGGAATATGCCAATAGAATGGCTCTCTGCAGCTGATGGTCACTTGCCCCGCCTCTGCGGGAACGCAGGCCCAGCGGCTGTCGAAGCTGGCGGCTGGGCGGAAGCGTCGTGGGTTGTAACTCGCGCGATGGGCAGCTGCTCGGGCCACTGAATCAGCTGGGGGAGGCCCGTCGTTCGCGTGTACTTGGCGCCTCCAGTTGAAAGCCGACGAAGTTCCTCGTGGAAACCGCGGGACAGTTTTGTGTCTTTTGGATCGGGAATAAACGCTGCTGAAAAGCTGGGGAGCCCCCTCCCGCAGCTGCTGCCGCTGCCGCCTTGTGGCTCGCTGGGCACACGCCCTCCACACCTGAGGGCGTTGTTTCCCCCGGGGGGGGGGGGGGACCTATAAGAAGCCTATTCAGCTTGGAGAGGATGGGCTTTACCGTTTCCCCTCAGCCTCGTATTTACGTTGGAACTTGCAGCAGGCAGGATTTTCCGGGTATCATCGAAATAACCTCTGTTCCAAGGCTAGTCTGCCCTTTAGAGGAATAGGGACAAATTAACTAGGAACTATGCTAGCAACCAAACCAAAACAAAAATGTTCTGGTAATGCTGCTTATTTGTCCTAACCATGTCTACCTTTTGGAGCGTCCCTCTCCAATATACTGTTCGAAGGCCAAATGCAGCCCTTTCTACCCTTGCCTGAAAAGTTGTACAACCTCACTTTAGATAATATGCTGAGTGTCTACATATGTTGATGAAATTTCTACACTAAAAGGAGTAAATATGCATAGGGTTACAGGGTTAGACTTTTTCTCAGGATACATCAACCTATATAAAGAGGACTGTTATTTTATCTTTGGAAAGCAGTGCAGTGAGAAACATCTTCGTTGTCCCATCGTTGTGAGGAGATTTCTTTATAGTGGGCTTGGCTTTAGAAGTTCCCTTCCCAGGGTGTCATCCGCCTGACATTTTTAACTCCTGTATTTTGGACTTAATTCCTCGCTGGACTAGACCATTTGTTTCTTGAGTGTTTTTCTGTCATTATCACTTTTTTGTACAGCCACTTGTTTAAATGGCTACCTCATTTAGCGACTGTTTGCTAATACAATGGTAATTTTTAAAAAATAATTTTCCAATCAGTGTGTGCAACTTATGACCAAATTTTGTGCACCTGACAACAACACATGCCAGAGTGAGAGTAACGCTGGTGTTGCTGCACAAGAGAACTTTATCTAAATGAGATGGCAGCAACCAGTGATCTTCACAGCATCTCTCTCTTTCAATCACATGTTCACTTAGTGACCATTTTCCTTCCAATTTAAGGAACTGATTGTGGCCACTAAATGAGGAGAGGGTGTAGTTTTTACTTGTTTTCGTGGTTTTAAAATTTTCTTTTTATGGATTGTAACCCATCAAATGATCTTACAGATAGTGACCAGACTGTAAATATTTTAAATTCATTCTCATTGTCAGTATTTCAGGCCATATAGAATAGGACAAGAATCACTGTCATCTAGAGAAAGGATCTGGGTGCAAAGTCAGTTTCTGCCAAACTTGAGGGGTTTGCATAAGATTTTTTCTTCTGGACTGCTAATTTAGGCAAGACAATCATTGTTACTTTACAATGTTCTTCATTCCTTGCCAGGTACCACTGAACTAACAGGAAGCACAAATTTGATCACCCACTACAACCTAGAGCATGCTTACAATAAATTCTGTGGCAAAAAGGTGAAAGAGAAGCTCAGCAACTTTCTGCCGGACCTGCCAGGAATGATCGATTTGCCAGGCTCACATGATAACAGCAGCCTGCGTTCTTTAATTGAAAAACCTCCCATCTGTGGTAGCTCATTCAACCCCATCACTGGTACCATGCTAACAGGGTTTCGTCTCCATGCTGGCCCGGTGAGTTAGTGCTTTGGGTGAAACACATGTTGTACAAATGAAGGTTTTTAACTGTTATAAGCAAAATACACAGTGACGCCTTGAATGAAAAAGTAACTTGCCAAACTGGGAAATAAGAATGTTACAGATCTGTAAGTTAAGGTCTGACAATTATTGGAGTAGTATCAATTTAGACCCTGAATATAAATTCACCTCTAAGTATATTGATTATCAGCCCTGTGACAGTGGGCACCTTCATGGGATTACATTGTAACATAGATGCAAATAAATCAGTAATTTAAATGACAGAAAGTGGCAAGACTGCAGAAATCTTGAATAATTTGGCTACTTTGTGAGATTCTGACCATGTTGTAGATTTTAAAAAAGGAATTCAAGGTGTTTTGGGGCAGTGTGAATGCTATAGTATAGATACATTCCAGCCTCCAGAATAATGTGGACTGGAATTGGTTTTAGAATTTGGTATATGCTGTGTGCTAATAATTAAGATACTGGACAAGGAATGAGGAAGTCTGAATTCTACTTCTAGTTTAGGCATGGAAGCAAGCTGGATGATTTGGGGCTAGTCACACACTCTCAGTCCTAGGAAAAAGGCAATAGCAATCAACTTCTGAAAACATTGCCAGAAAAAATGCGTGGACTTGTCCATGTACTTCCCAGGAATCAAGACTGACTTGAAGGCAACCTCCCCTCCCCAAAAATCTGAGGTTATATCTTTTCTATTAGAATAGGCTTAAGTAGGGTTAGAGATAGGAAGAGGTCCCAGCCAAAGGAGGAAAGAGGCTATCCTTACAGAATGGAGTCCTTGAAGCTTTCTTGCACCTGTTGCAAAGTAGGTTTCAAGTGAAAATTCCTAATTGAACTCCAGAGTAAATCTATATTTATAGGATCTGTACACGATATACTAAACCACCAAGTTTGCACAGTATAGTGAAACATAAACCACAATGGCTGTGTTAGCACAAAATGCCTAGTTGTGGTCCAGTTGTGCAAAGATGAGAAGCAATAGAAAATTACAAATCCTCATTAAAGTTGTCATCTCAAACAACTAGCAAATCTATCTTTGTTGATATATTTGTCATAGCTATTGGATTGGTCAAAAACAGCCAGTGGTAATTCCCTGTTGTAAGTATTCCTGAGAGTTATGAGAGATGTGATCATAAGAAGAGCCTGTGTCTGCATTTCATATATTTATTCCTTAGATTTATATCCTGATTTTCTCTACTGTTCTCTACAAATTAAATTCTTAATTTGCAATAGGCACAAACACTAAACTAAGTAAATATAACAGGTGGTCCTTGCTTAAAGACCACTTGTTCAGCAACTGTTCAAACTTATGATGCTGCTGAATGAGTGGCACTTAAGACCAGTCCTCGTACTTACATTGGTCACAGCGTCCACCTAGTCATGGCACCCAGCTCACAATTATGACATTGCAGTGTCCCACAGTCATGTGATCACCATTTCCAACCTTCACTGCCAGCTCCCAACAAGCAAAGTCAATGGGGAAGCTGGCAGAAGGTTGCAAATGGTGACCACTTGATGTCACACTTAATGACAGAGTGAGATTCACTTAATGATAGCAACCTGAAGTGCTGGAACTGCTGTCACTAAGCGGCACAGTCACGTGACATGGCGCTTTATGAATGCATTGCTTAGCAATGGAAATTCTGGTCCCCATTACTGTCGTTAAGTGAGGACTACCTGTGGTAGGAATTTTTCTAATGCAAATTTTGATGGAGGATATTACTGGACCAGCTTGCAAAAAGGTGCAGACCTGCAAGTCCTTACTTGAGGAATTGTACATGTTTTCTGCAACAGTACTAGGGAAGCTCACGTATTAACATGCCTTTCTGTTTCTGTTACATGACCTTAGCTGCCAGAACAATGTCGCTTAATGCACATCCAGCCACCTAAGAAAAAGAATAAGCATAAACATAAGCAGAGCCGAACCCAAGACCCTGTCCCTCCAGGTGAGAATCTGTTGCTTAGGACATGTAACATTGCCCCCCAACACATTTTGCTAACATAGAATGTTTCAGACTAGTAGCCTAAATTAAGTCACTCCTGCCCTTCTAGTAGCAAATATTTTCTTCAATTGCTCTCTTATTTTACTAGAAACTCCCTCAGATTCTGATCATAAGAAAAAGAAGAAAAAGAAAGAAGATGATCCCGAACGGAAAAGAAAGAAAAAAGAGAAAAAGAAAAAGAAGGTAAATTGGAAATGGTTTCCAGGTGCTGATCTTGATATTTGTAACTTCAGTGTAAAACAACAAATCTGAGTACTTTGCTTAGAGTTTGATGTGAGATCTAAGATCTCTTTTTGGGCCAAAAATATCTTCATGGCTATTTTTTATTGCCTCTATAATTTCTCATTTGTGTTGTTTTTTTTTAATAGAACCGCCATAGCCCTGAACATCCAGGTGTGGGCAGCTCACAAGCCAGCAGCAGTAGCAGCCTCCGGTAGAGTCTGTTCAAGATCATAGTAAAGAGAGTTCTCCATGAAAATGCTACAGACTTGTTGAGAGGAGGAGGAGCAGCAGCAGTAGCAAGGACGGGAAAGACACAGCTCCCTTGTATGCCTCCTCTTCCCTTTTGGAGCAACATATAAAATTGGATGGAGCTTCAGGACTTCATAGCTTTCTCTACAAAGAACACAGACTTTGCTTGGGACACAATGCAGGCTGATGCCTTTATATGGAAATTATGCGTATTGTTTTGTGTTTTGTAAAAAAAAAATGATCCTGACTAAGTTGGGATGTGTTTGTCTCATATTTTAATTAAATCTCTGTTGGAGGAGATGCTAATGATTTGAAGGAATCCTGACTACTGGACTCTTCCTGTATTGTACTGCAAACAGTTCTGAATTGTTTTGCAGTTAATAAATTGTGGGCAGAAATTCCAGAAGTGGTTTGAGATGTAGGATGGATAAGTAGTCTGACAGAAATACCTGATATGACTAAGCTTTTTTTGGGATAGAGGAGAAGAAAAGGCAGAATTTTAAAGTGGCAGTAGAGACAATATAAGGTTGGATTTCACTTCCATGCTATTAGTTTTGTGGGTAGTAGACCTGTTTTAGAACAACATGGACAGCTAATGACAAAGTATTGACCGAAATCCATGTAACAGTAAAAGATGCCAGTAGGAAAAAGATCATCTGTGAATTAGAGGACAAGACTGTTGCAAAACTCTTTTCTTCAAGGGCTCACTTATCAGGTAAAGGGTTTTTTCCTCCACATTCTCTTGCTCAATTAAGGAACAAGATTTAATTTTTTCAGGAGGAAGGAGAAATTGGAGATTTAAATTGAACATGTGAAGCCTTTTCCAGGAACCTCTTTTTTCTTTCCTCCTCCTGTTCACATTCTCTGCTCTCTTTGATATCACTACCTCATTAGGAATATGCTGGCAAAAATGATTACTTATTTGCTTCTTTCCTGGTTCTAAACATCAGAGAGAATAAAAAATCTGGCTTCATTTTAAGCCAGTAGCTGGGGGAAAAATATGAAGCAACAAAAGAAACATGGTTGGAAAAAGATTTGATGTCTTTGCTGCCTCTTCTTGCTTGCAAAAGAATAATAAGGCTTTCAGCAGTGCCTGTTACAGTCAATTTAGCTGTGATATGGGAGACCCCTATTAAAATGCCCATGCCATTTCCTTCAAATAAAAAATGTGAATGGGCATTTAACATAGGGGCAGTACATGGGCAGCTATGCAGCAGTTTCTGCATAGGAATTCTTTGCTTGAAGCAAAAAGACAGATGTAATATGGGTGCCTTCAACTCCCTCCACATCTATAGCTGAAATTGTTTTTTTAGAGGAACTGTTTCTATAACAAAAATAGTATGGGGGGTGAACTGTCACCCAATATTGTGGCCTTGATTAAAAAAAAAATCATTTTTAACCAAAGAAAAAGGTTGGAAAATACTTTCAGGGACCTCCCCTATCACATTTAATTGGCTGTTGAACATTTTTCTTTTATGGCACTTGAAAAGCAGATGGAGATTCTTTGGTTTACAATATTATTTAAAAGCTTTTTAATGGTTGGATCTATATTCTTAGTGACTTTTATGCTACTAGCTTATACAGAGGCAGATTGTTTAATCCCAAAATAAATGTGTTCCATGAAGTAGAGAAATGGTTACACCAACTTTGTGTGCAAACTCTTATTCCTTGGCTAATTGGTTTAGGAGGCAGCGAAGGGGTAGATTTGGCAACTGATATATCTTTTGGAACAGCTTTAAACGTGGTTATTTACACAAATGTTTATATCCTTCAATTATTCAGATGAGAAGGGAGGAAGTAAAACAATAATAGAAATACAGGGGTTTACTGCGGGATATCAGAGGAGAAGGTAGGGGTTGAGTTCCTTCTCTCTTCCCTCTTGAATGGATAGTAAGCCATCTAAGCAACTGGAAGGTTAATTCAAATTTATAATCACAAAGCCAGTGATAGTAGAGTGTGAACAGCAATTGATTTATACTTGTTATAACAACTCTTGGAGGTTGTTGGAAGTCTGCTGGGGTGGGGGTGGACTGCCTTTAGTCCTGGAGCCTCAGGTTGTGCTATGTGAACGATAAGAGCTGAATGAAAAGTAACACCTCCAAAGTTAATAAGGAGTGTACGGATGATAGTATTGATATGCTAGAAACACTAACGTGTTCTTTAGCATCTGTTACTTCACTTTAGGTGGCAGGAAGTTGCTGTGAGAAAAGGTTGTGTTGCTATTGTTTATGAAATGGAAATCTGAAGTGAGTAATCATAAGTGCATTTAAGCAACACACCATAGTTGAATTTTCAGTTGCTGAAAGAGTCTCTCCAACTGAAATTCACGACCAAATGCAGGTTGTTTATGTCAGTCAGCATGTTGGTGTGAGTACTGTGCATCACTGAGCCAAAAAAGGTAAAGTTGATGCTGGGAAGGGCTGATTTGTGTGATCAAAAATGAAGCAGATGACCTGTTAGCAACCTAGGAGTTTCACGTGAGAAAGATGGATGAACTGATTGGGTTACTCAAAGGGAAATTGCTGTCAAGCTTGGCATTTCACAAGAATGTGTGGGTCACATTATTGATGTTTTTCAGTATCAAAAGGTATGTGCAAGATGGATTCCTTGCAGGCTGGAGGCAGAGATGAAAGCTTTAATTTACCAGCAATTGTCACATGAGAATGAAGCTGAGGAATTTTTTTACAGCCGATGAAACATGGGCCATCATTATGAAGGGTCAATCCGTGGAATATCATTGCAGAGTTTCAACTGCTAAAAGAAAATTTAAAACCCAGCTTCAGCAGGAAAACCCACAGTATGCGGATGGTGGATTTCCTTAAACCTGGCACAAGTATCAACTCAGAATACTACATTGCAACACTCAGGCCCAGGCTAAGCTGAGCAGTTGTGGGAAATAGGATGTAAAAAGAGCCATCTTCTTTAGTTCAATTTTTTAAACACAAAGTAAACTAAATTCAGGGAGGCATCCCTGGAATAGAGGCGAGACTAGGCTTTATTATTCAAAAGATTACACCAGAGCTATTGTTGAGAAACAGGCAAAAATGTGCTCACTATCCTGTTACTTCACATAGTTGGGAAAGCTGTAATTTAAGTATGCAATATTGCTCTATGCATAGCAATACACTGGTAATACAAAAAACAATTCTGAAGGCTATTATAAAAGCATGGAGACATTTGACAGTTACCAAACTGTAACATACTGGAACTGTGTACCCAAACACCTGCAATGTTGCAGTTATTTTTTAATAATGAGATCCACACCCAAACTTATTAAGCCTAATATCAGATTAGTGTAAAATTTACAAATCATTTCCAACTCAGCAATATCATACCAGAACCATCCTTTGAAATGGTTTTGCTAAAGTAATGGCGATTTTAATGTCTCTTGCAAAATGGCCAGACTCATTCACCAGGTATCCTTCGATAGCTATAAAAGTTGCTGTACTTCATTACCAAGCAGAACTTGGTTACACCTAGTGTGTTTAAACAATTTTCTCACTTGGCTGGACTTCATTTTCTATGATGTGATATACTTTTCACTCCCATTGCTGTCTCCTAGGCTATTTGGGCTGAATTATCTAACAAACTTAGTTCTAGCCCATGAAAACGTATGCTACAGTACATGTGCCCTTAAGTAGTGTCTCTTAAAGAATACTATAATGTACATTCCCATACAACTATTTTACAAAGGTGCAGGTATGTTGTATTTTGCATGCAGATCAGCATTTTTTCATGAGTTACAATGCTGTGCTAATTGAAGAAAAGTGTTTGTTTCTCTCTTTAATCCATTGAGTTACTTGACTGCTTCCTTAACAGCCAACTTCTCTTGGCATCTCATGGGTTGATAGGCATCCTAATCTCATAGAAAAGCCAGAGCCATGCTGATTAGGCCAAGGAACCATTCTAGTTTAGCATCTTCTTTACTAATGACCAATCATCTGTCTCAAACCTTCAGAAAGGAATGACAACCCAATCTTCTTGTTGCTCCTCAGCAACAGGCATTTAGAAGCACAAGGCCTCCGAGGAAAGAGGTTGCATAGCAGTATTAATAAATCTACCCACTACTATCTAAAATAGTAACTGCTTGGACAATGAATTCCTTTCGTTATTGTAGCTTGGATAACCTACCTTCAAATACTCTCAGAAATAAATATCAAAAATAAATAAATAAAGCATTTCTTTCTCCGTTTTCATATCTTTTAAAAAAATTTCTAATAGAGTAGCTTTTCTTTTATGAAAGTAGCCCTTTCCTCTTGTAAACTTGGATGCTATCTTTGGTAACTCTGTTCTACAATATTTTAGGTAAAAGTAATGTAATCATAATGTTCTAAATATAACCACTTTCCATTTATACAGAAGCATTAAGATATTGGTCATTTTTTCTCCCAACCCATTCCTAATTATTTCTGTCATGGATTTTGCCATTTTCATAACTTTCCAGGGTTAATCATTTTATTCAGGTTTACATCAAAACTTTAAGATTTGCTTGTTGCTTAGGGATCTACTGGTTCATACATCAACAATGAATATATGTCATGATGTAGCACTTTAAATTTACATTTGATCATTGAACAATTTAGACAGCCTGCACTTTGCCCTTTTTCCTGAATTCGGTAGCACCACCACTCGTGGAAGACTTTGTTCTCTCAGCAATTTCAGGATATATTAGATCAGTATTGTCCAAACTTGGCCACTTTAAGATGAGTGGACTTCAACTCCCAACATGGCTGGCTGAGGAATTCTGGGAGTTGAAGTCCACTCATCTTAAAGTGCCCAAGTTTGGACAACACTGTATTAGATAGAAGCTGTCATGCTGCACAGCCAGCTTCTCTGCACTTTGTTGAAAAAGCTGGTTTCATCTCTACCACAGAAAAACAATGGAGTTTACAGTAATACATACGTGCTTCTACCTCTTCCTCTTCTGGTGACTTTAGACTTTCTTGTGGGAAAGAGCCACCAAAGCAATGTCTATCAAGTGAGCTACAAAGAGCCACTGAAGAATGCTGTGGGCCTTATGTTGTGGGAAATTCTTTTCATATCATGCTCTTGGTAAGACTTCTAGCTGCAACTTACTTTTTAGGTAAATTGGACATGAAAAGTAGAATATTTTTGAAAGGAAATGTTTATTCAGTAGTCAGTGAAACTTCTAAGAAGAAACATATTTTAAAAAAATGCATTCAACTGTTAGTACTGTATTTACAGATCAGAGAACATTATGGAGTGGGGTGTAAATGTTTTTGCTTGTTTGTTTTTGAGGAACAAACCTAAGGAAGGTGACATGAGGAAGAAGAGACGTTACAGACATTTAATAGAAAGGAGGAGACCCTCCCATTCTGCTAAGCCAGCTATATTTTAATGACCTGCTCTACGCTTGTTATGATAATTTTGAGTAAGCAAGACATCATTCTGACTGATGTGAAAAGTTGTTTTAAGTTCTTATACATATTTAAAATATATACTATTTTGACTTCTACTTTTGGCTCTTGATATATTTTGTTATATTTGGCACATTTAGTTTTCTGATCTTTGAAACTGTGTAATCTTCTGCATTATAACATTTCTCAAATTTACAGATTGGAACATTAAAATTATTTGAACCAACCAGGATCATTTTAAAAAATTGAAAAAAAGAGTAGCAGTAGGATTTATGAACATTGCCAAATACTTAACAGATGCTGATAGTACAACTTTATTGACTTGTCAAAATGCACCTGTGTTACCAGGTAGGTAGCAGAGACTACCAGCAGTAACTATCAACAGTTTAAAAGCCCACTGTCTTTTGAGATAGGTCACAATATACTACTCACTTTTAAAAAAGGAGAACTGAGGTCAAGAATTATTTCTCAAATGAGGTCATGGCACAGTGGGAGGAGTTGGCGTCAGCATTCCTGTGGAGCTCCTAACCTTCTTGCTTACTCAGTAATGACTTGCCCTGTTGGAAAAGCAAAACTAAAAGCTTGGGAGCATGTCCTGGTTCTGGGGAACACTATTAATTTCTTCATTTGGCTGCAACAATATATCAAAGCTGTACAAATTACAGTGCATAGCTTTCTTTTCTTTAACCTTATGGATTACTTTTTTTTAATACTCAAACTGTTCCAAAGAAAAATATTAGTGGGTTAGGTATAGCAAAACATCTACAACCTTAATGTTTTTACTACTAGGCAAAGTGTGTTACTGTGCCAAAAAAAGGTTCAGTACTATGATCTTGTAGGCCATTCAGCTATATTTTATGCAAGTACTACAGTAGGAGCAAAAGAGGTAAGCAATAGTCAAAGCAGGAAATTATTTGATGAACTGAAGAACTAAGAAGAGACATAGAAGACAGAATACAAGTCATATAAATAGCAGCTGAAGAATTGTGGGTACCTTTAGCCCACAGAGTAACTATAAGGCAGGGATATGCAGAGATCTCTTTGGACTAATGGAGGCATTTTACAGTGAAGGTATGACATGGGTGATCTCACAAAATAATTGCCATAAAAGGCATAGCTAGTTGCAAGTGGGTGCCATGGTCAAATGTGAGGGCTGACCCCAAATTCCCTGCCTCTCTTTTGGACAGGTGGACACATTTCCAGACAGGACATTTGGGCTGCAATCATCCATCATTTGTATTGTTTAAGCCAACATT